CGCCGTATTAAAGATTTGCGTTATAAAGCGCTCCGCACAGCCCACATAGGGTGAGTAGACCTCCGCCGCGGATGTGGCTATGAAGGTCATGTGCGCCTCCTTGGCCAAGCACTTGGCAATTGACGTCTTGGCGCAGCCGGGCGGACCATAAAGCAGCAGGCCCCTGGGCAGGCTCAGGCCAAAGCGCGCATGCGCTTCGCTATGCTGCAGCGCGGCTAATACGGACACCTGCAGCGTGCGCTTAAGCGCATCCATGCCGCCAATGGACTCGAAGCCCGCGGAGAGCTTCAGGACGCGCACATCCGTGGCACGCGAGGCGCTGGGCTGGCACTGCAAAAGAGATTGCTTTAAAAGGCGCTCGAAATCTTCGGGAGTGGGTGGGTTGAGGTGGAGCATTTGCTGTTGCAGCTGGCGCAGCAGCAGCGTCAGATCGGCGATCACATAGCCCTGCGTCTGCTGCGCCAGGTAATCGAGCAGGCCAGGTGTGAGCAGCTCCAGGTGTGTCGGCTGCTCCTGCTGCCAGAGTCCCGCAAAGAGTTGACGACGCTGCTGCTCCGTGGGCATATCGATGCTCAGTTCATGGCCAAAGCGACCGGCGCGACGTGCGTGTGGATGCACTGCATCCGGCGAGCCGCTGCTGGCCAGGCACAAGATGCCACCATGCCGCTGCGGCAGCTCATCAATCAGCCTGTAGAGCTGTGCGGCAATGCGCATCGCATTGCCCGAGTTCCGGGCATCCGCTGTGGTAGTTGCCGGACACAGAAGCTCCAGATCCTCCAGCAAGATGACAACCGGTCGCTGCGGGCGCAGGCGTTGCTGAAAAGTGTGCGCCGCTTGGAAGATGCGCCGCAGCTCCGACTCCGTTTCACCCGGTTGGGCGCGCAACACCTGCGAGGCGGTGATGTGGAAACAATTGCAGCTGTGCCGCCGCAGAAACTCCGCCAGCAGGCAACTCTTGCCGGAGCCCACGGCGCCTACGAGCAGCGCATTCAAGGGAAGTCCTCTAAGCTCTTGCCTTTGGGCGCATCGCAGCAGCTGCTCCAGTGCCTGCAGCGGCGCCTCAAAGCCGTAGGGTTGATAGCGCTCCAGGCGCGGCAGGCACGTGGCCGTCGCCAGACGCACGTCCAGAATTTGCAGCGGCGTCTCGTGCGTTAGCTCAAAGCAGCTGCGAGACGTCAAATCCGTGCCCTGAGCTTCACTTATCTCAATGCTAGCAATGCCCAGCTCCAGCAGACGCGCATGTTGCACAGCGCAGCCTTCGATCAGCTTGAGATGGCGCAGAAAGATGCGCACATCCTGATGCAGCTGCTCCAACGAGAGCTGCGGCTGCTGCAGCAGCTGCTCCGTTATGCTGACCGTGCAGGCCACCTGCTGCACCACGTTAGTTGCAGGAGTAAGGGACTCCAAGCGGCACAGGCGTTGCTTGTTGGCTTTGAAGCCCGGAGACGCCACCAAATTGTCCACAAAGCAACAGGTTTCGGCGGCCGCGCGCTGCGCCACACGACAAACGACGTAGCTGCCATCATCCAGCACACATTTACTCCAAGTCCCAGTCCATTCCAGGTGCTCGGGTATATAACAGCGCTGCGGCTCAAGCTCGCTATTGTCCAGCAAATCAAGCGGCAATATCAACAAATTGGAGCACATGCCGCAAAGCGAAATATAAACATGTGGTGAAAAACGCAAAACTCACCTCTTGGCGCCATTTGATAAAAATTCACTCACTCACTTTTTAAAACGCAAAAATACCCATTTGCTGCATATATAAATTTAATTTTAAAAAGTCAGTTAAATTGCACAGAGTTTACATACCCTTTTCCATTTGAAAATTCATATGCTCAACATATATATTAGCACGAAATATTATTAAAGCCCAAGTCAATTTTTTGATGGGACATACATAGTTAAAAAAATTTACCACTTAGTAAATAACATCCATTCAAGCCAAGCAACATTATTAGTACATTTTTATCCCATATGACACTCATTTATAAAGCAACCAACATATTAAGGCCTTAAAGTGCAGCAAACAATACATTTTGTTTTTAGCAATTACAGACATTACATGCAATTTTAGTTCGCAGCAAACAACAACTGCTGCTCAACAGTTACGTTAGTTGAACGTATTGCACAGCACAGCTGACGATAGCTTAAGAAATCAACGCTGTATCTAATTGCTAGCCAGTGGCAACGCCATTCACGCAGAGTTGCTTGTAATAGAAATTTACAGCTGGCAACTCCCTTTTCGCATAAGTGTCGCCTGGCGTGAACACGCGGATTTTACTTCGTGGATTTTTCAATTGTTAAATAAGGTAAATATGCTGGCCATCCAACTGTAATTGTATGCCACAATGGCTAACATCCGCCCATTGAACATTATGCAGCAGCCGATATGACGAAGAAGCGCCGTAATGGTGGACGCAACAAGCACAATCGCGGCCATGTGAAGCCCGTGCGCTGCACCAACTGCGCTCGCTGCGTGCCCAAGGATAAGGCGATCAAGAAGTTTGTCATCCGCAACATTGTCGAGGCGGCCGCTGTGCGCGACATCAGCGAGGCCAGCATCTGGGACACCTATGTGCTGCCCAAACTCTACGCGAAGCTCCACTACTGCGTCTCGTGCGCCATTCACTCCAAGGTGGTGCGCAATCGTTCGCGCGAGGCACGTCGCATTCGTACGCCGCCCGTGCGCTCCTTCCCCAAGGATATGGCGCGCAACAACCAGAATAGGAAGTAAATGCGTTAGGAAAAGGCGGCTTGCTTATAGAAACATCATCAACAACAACAACAACTACAACAACAATCCACACACACTATTGTAAACTTTAGGTACGATTCTGGGATGAATGGCACGCTATCGGGCACTGTCCGGCGTGGCCAAATATAAGCATTCGGTTTTTTAAACAATTCCAAGGATTCATTTATGGGAACGGGCTACATTTGATTGTCGAGTCTGTGTTCGCTGGCGCTGAAATGCCGCTCGAGTAGGCGAGGCAAGGAGTAGGCGCTTCCGGTTGCCCGTCGTCCGTCCGCCTACAGCTGCCGGATGCGTTATGCATTTAGTCGTGTGTGATATCTCATTTCCGGCTGTGCCCGCCTTGATTTTTGCCAGCTTTTCGCACACCTCACACATGTGCGCAGGCTGTGCCCGCACAGTGGTACCGCACAGTGGTTGCAACCGGCGCACACAATTTGAGGTTAGGTAAGTTTTTCAAAATCATTTCCTGAGATTCGGTGCTGGGCTTGTCTTCAAGTTATAGCAGGCGCAGGAAAATGAAAATAATAAACTTGTAAAGCCAGCACATACACATTCACACACACACAAGCGCGCCTGCTCAGCGCTCAGTGTAATTTGTAGACGTTGTTTGTAAAGCGCCACCAAGCGGCGGGTGGCTTAAGTAACTGAAACCTGCCGCAAATGTAGCATACCGTAAGCTGCCGCAACTGTGGCATACTTTCAGGCGGCAGCCAAAAGAAAGCAAGAGAGAAAAGCAGAAAAAAATGTATTGCATGCTGCTTTTTGGCATAAATTTTGCAGAAAACGTGAGCGCAAAGGCAAATGAGTTTGACTTCTTGTGTATGGGTATGTGTGTGGGTGGGTGGCCCATGTGTGTACGCGCGTACTTCCGCTTCCTGTTTACCCCTTTCGGGCCGCACTCTTGGAAGTTTTTGTGCTTGTGCAGCAGTTTGTATCGCCCTCTGCCACAGTAGCCCACGTTAAATTATTGTTTTCGTTTTGCTGGGCAAATAAAACGTAGACATAAGCAGCTGCCGTTGATCATTTAGCATAAATTAAAGCGAGCAACAGCAAACGGAATCCTAATGGAGGTTATGACAACTGCCCCAGACTTGAATATAATATTACCAAAACTTGACTTCAGCACATTTTCAGCGAGAACAACAAGCACTGAATAGGTAAACATATATGTATGTGTATTACAAATGTATGTATATGTGCGTATGTTGCATGTACTTTTGTATGTATGTGCATGTGTGCTTAAACTTTTGCTGGAATTCATATATTCATAACTTTGTCAAAACTGAACCGATTTGTATGATTGTTGACATTTTGGTCATGGTTTAAATGCTTGTTCAGTTCTGCATTTAAAATTTAAGAATTTTTTTTTTTACAATTTGTGGACCTTTCGTCAAGAACTCTCCTTTTTTATTTCATCCTTTTATTTTCATCCATTGTGGATTTTATTCGTAAATTCTTCAGTCAAAAATCATTAAACAAATGTTATAAATTGAGTTGCATGATTAACGACATTTGAATCAGGGTTTGATCTGTTAGGTATGTTTTGGTATATATCAAATTTAAAGTTTCTAGCCTTTGAAGTTTTATAGATGGACGGGCTTATTAATAGGGATAGAAGGAAGGATGGATAGAAGCATAGGCAAAAAGTCGGACGGATATATAGATAGATAGACAGAAAGACAAATAGATTAATAAATAGATAGATTGGTAGGTTGATAGATGGATCGGCAGATTGATCGATAGTTATATCGATAGATAGAGAGACAGACAAACAGGCAGACAGATAGACAAACATTGACAGATAAACAGGCAGAGATACGCAGATAGACAGACAGACAGACAGACAGACAGACAGATAGATAGACAGATAGACACGCAAATAGATAGATCGATATATAGATCGATATTTATATAGATATATCGATAGATAGATAGATGGAGAGACAGACTGACAGACAGACTAACATCCAGATAGACAGACAGAGACAGGCAGATAGACAGATGGATAGATAGATAGATAGATCGATATATAGATAGATCGATAGATAGATGGAGACACAGACTGACAGCCAGATTGACAGGCAGTTGCATAGACACATGTCTAGATCAACCCAGCTCGTCCTTCTGATTGAATCGGAATTTCTTCCCGCTGCCTTAAAGATAACACTCTTCAATCGCATCCGATTAAGTCCAAAATATTTGACTTGCACTCATATATAAATATATTTCTTTTTTTTTTAGATTTTAGTTTTTCATTCGTGGCAAGTGTCAGTGCGGCTGCGCGCATGCTCCAAATTGTGGCCAACAACGCCGCGGAGCTGGAGCTGTGCATGGCTGCTCGCGTAGATATCGTTGCAGAGATGCGACAACGGCAGCTCCGCGTCGCTTCTGGCCGCCTTCATGGCCACCTCCATCTCGTTGCGCACATCGCACTCAATGCCGAGCAGCTGCGTCTGTGTCAGCAGCGACATCTCCACGCAGATCTTGCGGAAGCGATCGATCGCATCCTGTCGCTGGCGCACCTGTTGCACCTCCTCCCGTGTGCGATAGCTGGTGCCGGGATCGGACATCGAATGGCCCGCATACCGATAGGTGCACAGCTCCAAGACGAGCGGTCCACGCTGCTGGGCATGCTCGATGGCAAATCGTGTCGCACTGCGCACGGCCAGCACATCCTGCCCGTCCACCCAGATGCCGGGCAAATAATCGCCCCGCGTATAATAGTTCGTGTTGCTGGAGGCGCGCCAGGCGCTGGTGCCCATGCCATAGTTATTGTTCTCGCAGACAAACACAATCGGCAGCTTCCACAGCTGGGACATGTTGTAGCACTCGAAGATCTGGCCCTGATTGGCGGCGCCATCCCCGTACAGGGCAAAGCAAACAGCGCCATTTTTGCGATATTTGTTGGCCAGCGCAATGCCCGTGCCGAGCGAGACCTGGGCGCCGACAATGCCGTTGCCCCCATAGAAATTGGGCGCATACATGTGCATGGAGCCGCCCTTGCCCTGGGCACAGCCGCTCGCCCGGCCCGTCAGCTCGGCCAGCACGCCGGCAGCCGTGACGCCCATCAGATAGGCCCAGCCATGGATGCGATAGCCGGCAATTAGATTATCCTGCGGGCGCAGTGCGGCGCACAGCCCAACGGCGCAGGCCTCCTGACCCGTATACAAATGACAGAAGCCGCGCACCAGCCGATCCTTGTACATCTGGGCGGCGCTCGCCTCCAGGCGACGGATGGCCACCAGCTGGCGATAGTAGAGCGCCGCCTCGCGTTCGGTGAGCGCCACCAGGGTATCGGGTCCCATTTCCAGTTTGTGCAGCTTATAGTCTAGCTGAAGGCGCACCAGACGCACCTCCTCCACATGCGGCACAGCTTTTTCGCCGCTGCCCAACAGATCGTGTCCTGGCGCCAGTGGGCGTGGCAACTGGGCAGCCGTAAAGCGGACAGAGCGCGGCAGCAGCTGATTGACTTGCAGCTGCAACTGCTTCAACATCACTGCGACCGCCATTCGGTACATTTTGCCTGTCCTTCGCGTGTTCACTTGGATTTTAATTGTTAAATGCTATGCAAAGCTAAATACCCAAATTGAAAGGCTTGACGGGTAAGTTTTAAATTTACATATATGACAAATTGGGCCAGGGAATAATATTACTTGAATAATTATCGAAACGGATGCCCTATATATAATTAGATTTTATTCTATTTACAATTCCTCTTTGTGGCTTATCCTTAAACTATTCACGGGCTGCCTTCTAACACATCTCTTCGCTATATGTCCTTTCTCTCTCTCTCTCTCTCTCTCTCTCTCTATTATTACGCACTCTTTACAACACTTTCGGTCGCCCTCCTCCATGCTCCTGTTTTCTCTTTTTGTCTCCCTCTTTCTTTTTCTAAGTGTTCACTTGGATTTTAATTGTTAAATGCTATGCAAAGCTAAATACACAAATTGAAAGGCTTGACGGGTAAGTTTTAAATTTACATATATGACAAATTGGGCCAGGGAATAATATTACTTGAATAATTATCGAAACGGATATCCTAGTTCTAATTGGATTAAATTTTTTTACAATTCCTCTTTGTGGCTTATCCTTAAACTATTCACGGGCTGCTTTCTAACACATCTCTTCGCTCTATGTCCTTTTACAGGCTCTTTGTCTCTCGCTCTCTCTCTCTCTCTCTCTCTCTCTCTCTCTCTATTATTACGCACTCTTTACAACACTTTCGGTCGCCCTCCTCCATGCTCCTGTTTTCTCTTTTTGTCTCCCTCTTTCTTTTTCTGGGTGTTCACTTGGATTTGAATTGTTAAATGCTATGCAAAGCTAAATACCCAAATTGAAAGGCTTGACGGGTAAGTTTTAAATTTACATATATGACAAATTGGGCCAGGGAATAATATTACTTGAATAATTATCGAAACGGATATCCTAGTTCTAATTGGATTAAATTTTTTTACAATTCCTCTTTGTGGCTTATCCTTACACTATTCACGGGCTGCTTTCTAACACATCTCTTCGCTCTATGTCCTTTTACAGGCTCTTTGTCTCTCGCTCTCTCTCTCTCTCTCTCTCTCTCTCTCTCTATTATTACGCACTCTTTACAACACTTTCGGTCGCCCTCTTCCATGCTCCTGGTTTCTCTTTTTGTCTCCCTCTTTCTTTTTCTGGGTGTTCACTTGGATTTTAATTGTTAAATGCTATGCAAAGCTAAATACACAAATTGAAAGGCTTGACGGGTAAGTTTTAAATTTACATATATGACAAATTGGGCCAGGGAATAATATTACTTGAATAATTATCGAAACGGATGCCCTATATATAATTAGATTTTATTCTATTTACAATTCCTCTTTGTGGCATATACTTAAACTAATTACTGGGTGCGCATAATTGAGCTCTCTTTCTAATACTTTTGTTCTCTCTCTCTCTATTATTATTACGCTCTCTTTATATCACTTTCGTTTACTCTATGTCCTCTTCCATGCTCTTGTTCTCTCCTTGTCTCTCTCTATCCCCTTCGTTCTCTCTTCGATGCATTTTCCATTTCGCTTTGTGCTGCCTTCTTAAACGTTTTACTATCAACAAAGTTGAATATGAATTATGCCAGGGTAGCATAGTTTGTATACAAAAGATAAAACGTATGTCCACAAAGCGTAATTCGATTATCTACTTTTATTCCTCTTTGTAGCATTTTTTGTTAAACTATTCACAGGCTTACGCTCTCTGACTCACGCTCTAGTTCGCTCTGTATGCTTTCCCACGCTCTTTCAATTCTTCTTTGTACCATATACACTTTCTCACTCTTTCGTTCGCCTCTTCCACGATCTTTCAATTCTTCTTTGTTTCTTACTTTCTTTTTCCCACTCTTTGGCTTACACTCCTCCCCTATCTCACGCTCTTTCAAATTCTCTTTGTTTCATAAACTTTAACTTTTTACGGGCTGTGTGTAATCTCGCTCTCTGGCTCACACTTCATATTGGTCATATATTCTTTATCCCACTCCTCCTCTCTCTTTTGCTTTGCCTCTCAGTTTATCTTGTCAAATGAAGTGCATTTATTTGATTCTGCTTTGTGCTGCTTTCTTAAACGTTTCATCAGCAGCACTGCAGAAGGTAAGCTAAAAGCTGAGTTTACTTGTACTTTTTTGTATATTTAAAATATGATAAAAATATATATTTAAATTAAATAAATAAATGATAAAACTGTTGAGATTTGTTTTTATATATATTTTTTGGATACCAAGAGAAAAATAAAACTTTATATTTTGATGGATCTTCCGATCTTGTTCGATATTTTTCCTGATAGCGCCCTTACTCAAATCTTACAACCGATTTCCTTTCATCTCCATATATAAAAGTGTTTGTACTGACTGTCTGACTGACTGACAACGCACAGCCCAAACCGTAAGAGCTAGAAAGCTGACATTTTCACTGTATTTACCTTATGTGATGAAGGTGCACGTTAAGACACGGGTTCGGGAAATTCCACAGAATCTAAGCTTCCTTGGTGGAAAGTGCGATTCAAAGATTTCTTGATGAAGTTTTAGTTTGCATATATATGTATGCCTATTTTTACATACATGTATGAATGTTTATTTATATATGTATATGCAAAAATGCATACATACATACATACATGCATGCATGCATACATGCATACATACATGCATGCATGCATACATGTATACGTGTATACATGCGTACATGTATACATGTATACATGCGTACATGCATACATATATACACACATACATACATACATACATACGTAAATACATACATACATACATATATACATGCATACATATATACATGCATACATGCATACATGCATACATACATACATACATACATGCATGCATACATACATACATACGTACATACATACATACATACATATATACATACATACTTACATACATACATGCATGCATGCATTCATACATACATACATACATACATACATACATACATACATATATACATGCATACATACATACATGCGTGCATGCATGCATGCATACATACATTCGTACATACATATGTAAATATACGCATATGTACATACATATATATGTACACACGTACATACGGTTAAATATACATACATACATTCCCAAAATCAAAAAAAACAAAAGACCAAAAAAAGGCACTACACTACTAGCTAAGCATGTTAAACTGCAGAGCCTATTTGAATTCTTGAGAATCGAGGAGGAGGGCACTTGGCAGAAATTCGTTTTATTTAAATTTGCAGCAAAACAACGAATAAGGTTAGTCTGCGTTTGGTATTAGAAAACAAACAAACATGCATACATATAAGCATTCATACACTAACACACACAAACACCCACCCCATAGCTCGGTTAAATCTCATCCGATTTCCACGAGATTTGGCTCTTTGTTCATGGTTTGGCCTTTAGATCAATTTGTCATTTAAATCTGGCAACAATATATTTGGTCGAAATTCGTGTCAAAATCTCATCCAATTTTCGCGAGGTTTCGATTTTTGTTCATAGTTTAGATCAAGTTGGCATCTAAATATGGCCACAATATTCTTGTATAATATATATTGTGTATATAAAGTATTTTTGGTTAAATATTTTCTTTATCTTGATTGATTGATTGATGTAACGCCTATTGAACTTGTTATATTTCTGTGAGTATATGTATATAAAAGTTGTTCCATGCTTTTTCTTCCACACAGCTTCGACTCACTTCAGACCACATAAAATTCCGTGTGTCATATTTTATTTTAATTTCCGTTTTCTTCCGGCCTCCCTCCCACATTTCCAATAAATGCTCAAATATAAATATATATATATTTTTGCAGTCGTATTGTATCTATGCCAGGGCCAGGACAAAGCACTTTCGCTTCCCTTGTCCTGGCTCCAACCCCCCCCCCCCTCTGTCCACCCCCCCCGTTGTGTAGCATGTGTGGCAGCGTTTTTGCCCATTTGAAGCGTAAATAAAAACGTTAAATGTTTTTTTAACGTGCGCCACTTAACACTCGGGACAATTTAAAGGCAATTGAGCACAAAAACAACAACAACAACAACAATGGCCACAAAAAATATAAAAAGCCAATGCCGAAACATCTATATACAAGCTGATATATGTATATATATATCTGTATAATTTATATATGATATATGTGTGTGGACAGGCGACTTATGTGTTGTAGATTGCGCACTTTTGTCCCTATTTTAAGACCCATAAAAATGGCCATAAAGGGTATCATAAAGTTGGGCAAATATATATATATATGTAACTGGCGCAACGACACATCTGTGAACCCTAAAAGGTATATATAAATATTTATATATATTTGATCTGTATCAGCTGTCAAGTCGATCAACGTCTAGAGGTGTCAAATTTGGTATGTTGATTGATTGATTGATTGATTGATATACCCTGCAATATTCCAATTTGAGAATTCTGCTGTTGCATACGTTGAGGTTTTCTTTGGCAGATGAGTTCTCCAAAAAATTTACCTTTCAGAGCAGCGAAAAAACGAGATTTCAGGCTTGTAAAGAAATCATCTTATTTGGTATTAATTTTTATAATATTATTTATTATTATAATTTGATTTTCTGATTATTTTGATTACTTTATTCTTTAAGATTAATTATACATTGACTTAAGAAACATAATATTTAGAAATTAATAATAGATTTGAACCGGCGACTTCTCGCTTACTCCAAACGCTTGCAGGCTACTTTAAAAACAGGGCATTGCTAAGTCGTCTACTCTGGCTCTTATCTTTTCCCACATACTTATACCCTTGTAGAGGGTATTATAATTTTCTCATGAAATGAAACTTAGCATTTCTCACACATCTGCAAGGGTATCAAATCTTCGGCTTTGCCGAATATATCCTCATTTGCTCGCTGTTCTTTTTTTATTATCATTATTTGACCATTTTGTTTGGCTGCCTCGTAATTTAATATAGATTTTAGCCCATGTTGCAGCGTTCGCTTCGTCGTGCCTCATTTTTTATGCCTGCAACAATAAATTGTCAATTGATTTTTGCGCTCATTTATTGTGCTTATGTTGCCGGCAATATATTTACTTATATATGTATGTACATATATACATTTATATATATATGTATTTTTTTATTTTCCTTTTTCTTTTGTGTACTTTGTCAACGCCATT